TCCATCAAATAATACAGCAAAAAATTAAATTTGTTTGATTTTGACTGACAAGTAAAGACCATTAACAATGTGGAATCATTTCTGAATCTGACTGCTGATTGCTTCAACAAAGATAAAAATAATACAAAGCTGGAAAAAAAAATAAAAATGAGGAGATATATGGTAAACAATTGAAACAATCCTCCCCACAAAAAAAAAACCACTCCAATCTAACCTATTTACACATATTATTAATGCCAAAAATAGGAAAAGAAGAACAGATATCAACACTGATTGTGACAACTTCCTACAGAATTCAATATAAATCAGTATAAAATCAATGGCCATAAGGAGGCCACAAGACCCTAGAAACTGCTTAAGTTAGCAGTAATTTGATCCGTTTGCCAAGTGAAGAGACATGACAGTTTAGACAGGAGACACCACCAGTTCAGAACAGAAATGTGCTTGGTATTTAGAGCCCTTCACGTCTTGACTCTAACCTCCCTTTCCAGGCTTATTACACATAACTGCTCTTCACACACTTTAAGGTCCAGCTTTCTTGGCCTTGTTGCTAGCCCTCTCCACTGCCCAGGCAGTCTCCCACTCCTGGAAGCAATCCCCTTTCACCTCGGCCTCCTAGAAGTCTAGTTTCCTTCAAAACCCAGTTTAAATGGCATATTTGGTTTATATTATATGTGTGTATGTTGTCTCCTCTGAAATACAAGAGCAAGGACTGTTTCATTTTTGTCTTTGTATATCCAGTGTCTAGAATATAGCAGGGACTTAATAAATGCTTGCTGATTGACTTATTGATCTGAAAAATATTACAGTCAGCTGGTGGATTATGAAAAGTATCATCTCATAAAATAACAAGAAGCAATAGAAGGAAAAGCCAGTTAAAAGAAAACTTGAAGACTCTTATAAGCAAAGTCATCCCAATGGCATTTAAGGATAGAACGCAAAGAGCAACAAACAAGAAGCGAAAAAGATTAGTCAGGACTTTTGTAACAAATCCTCTTTGACATCAAGGACAAAGGAGCTGCCACATCTGAATCCCTTACGCTGCGTTCCCAGATGTGTTGCAAGAAGTGGGACTGGCTCTGCCATAGACAAAGATGGGACACAGAGGCAGATCACGAGAGAGATGACACACTTTTAAGGGCACTGAGGGACCAATTCTCAAGGTATCTAAAAGAGGGAAAGATGTCAACGGTGTGGAGAAAAGCCTCAGCCCTTATTTCTAGAAAAAGATGACAAAGAGAACATAAATAATTATAGACCATTCTGTTAGGTGAGGCCTAATTCAGGCCAACCCAGTAATTCAGGATTGAGACTGGAGCTGAAAACACTTGGGGACTACATAAAAAACGAACAAACAATAAAAAGAAATTTACTTAATAAAGTCTTAAAAAAGGGATACAATCACCGATTCTAATATGCCAGACTTGCACAGTAGGAGGCAATTCTGTCAAGCCTGACAGCTCTACCTCCCCAGAGTCTGGGCTTTTTATGCCTCAGGTAACCAGGAAACCATGCCAATGGCTCAAACCCTAGTGCTTCAGACCCATGGTATCAACCTCAAGTAGGAACAGGGACCACTAAACCAACATCATAATTCCTGTGCACTACACACTGACTTAGCTTTAAAATGTAATGCTATCTATATTTTATTTTTATTTGTTAAACATTTCCCAATTATATTGTAATTTAATTCAGGCAGCACTCAGGAGTGTTGTGGCAAGACCATGTGCTTGACCCCTCTGCTTCAGACCAATCAAGTCCTGAGGACAATCTCCTTAGTCAAGTCAATGGCAGCATCCATATAAAACAAATGCCCCTCCTATCACACAGCTTCATATGCCTATTTTTCCATCTCTACAAAAATTATGAATAACCAAAGAACTCTGTGGTCCCACACTCCGAAGACTGTATTCTGTTACAGAACTTTGGTATGCATAATGTTTGAACTATACTCAGTTCTAGTTAGAACAGGCTGATCAAACTCTAGCAAGCTTGCTGAAGCAGCACCGTTGTAACGCCACCTTCCTCGTCATGAGTCGGCTTTCCTGGTTAATTTTTAGATCCCTCCTCCCAACCCGAGCTACTAGTCCGTGCTCCCTGACTCCACTGCTCCACCAGCAACATGACAGCTGCCACAGCAGAGCTTCTATCTTAAAATCCTATATAAATCAGGACCCCTAAGGTTCTGGGTCTTCCATTGGAGAATGAATGCCATTTTTTATGTGTGCCATCACCTAGTGTGTTATCCTGTGCGACAGTGGAGACAAGAGAAGCCACTTATGACTCTGTCACTGACTGCATCTGCCCATATCCTTCTAAGCTGTGCGTAGCTGTGACAATTAAAAACAATTCTAACCCACCCCGGTGTTGCTACGTGCCCCTCCCTGGAATTCTGCCTTAAATTTCCATGACAAATTTTCATAAGACTAATCTATACATACAACGAGGACATCCTTGATAAAGAAATGAGAAAGGAACAAATAAGATTTCATTATTGATATTGCACAGCAGACTACATCTTTACTATCTCAGAACTGAGTCAAAAACGTAGAGAAGGCATAATCCCATTGTACCTATTTGTTGACTATTAAAAAAGTATTTTGGTATAATAAAAAACTATCTTAAAGACTTTACTCCCAACATGGTATCTCTCATGCATATGTCAAAATCACACAAGACATAACAATAGATTGATGATTATTAATATCAAAAAGGTATAAATCAGGGAGACATAGTCTTTCCAAAGGTGTTTACCACTACCATGGAAGACATGTAGCACAGAGTTCAAGTGGAAGAAAAATTCCCTCAAGAAGGTAAGGGTCCCTTGAGATGATCCTGTTTATGAATGATCCTGTGCTCGTGGCCTTAAGTGTGAGGCTCCCAGACTCAGAGCACAGGATCACATGTGTATTATGTACGTGTATATGTATGTGTATATATACAAACATGAGTGTATATTGTGCATATGTTGTATGTGGTACATTATAAAATATATTGTACATTACAGAACATTATCTAGTATAACCATATATAGTATTATTATACTATATCATCATAACAGTATATAGCACTCATAATATATATAGTATACTATAGTAATATATACATTTATTACATAAAAACACATTGTATATTATAGCAATATGTCAAATATAATGTTATATGTACATCTATTACCTGTATAAATTGAGAGAGTATTATTCTAGGAAATTATATATATGTAAATTGTGTATGTGATCTGTACATGTGGACATAATGGATAGCCACTGAAAATGGACAGTGAGGGGAACCTGGAATTAAACAGGAAAAAGGGTAGACTGAAGAGCCTTTGGAAAATGGCATAATCCTTTAGTGATCCCAAGCATATCCCTAAAACCAAAGCCTATCTTGCTGTTACAGTATTGTTCCAATGATGTCTGTTAATCACAAACTACTACAGTCTCAAGAGGTCTGAAGCTGAGGTTCAATTGATGAATAATACAAAAGTATATACGGGCACGAGCAGGTACAATATACCACACATGAGCCATGACACAGAAGTAGCATAAAAGGCACTGTCAAAGAAACCTATGGCTGGGAAAATGGAAAAGTCCCTTCCTGAGAATAAGGGCCAACCCACAGAAAGCTCCACTGGTGTAGTTAATTTAATTTATGGGAAGAGACAAGCCACATTCAAACAAGATAGGCAGACATGGGGTGGGCCTCCATCTGTTATCAGTGCACAGAATATCCCCCCAGATTAGGTCACAGATCCACTAGTGATTTTAAGTACAGATGCCTTAGGAGTGACAAAGAAATCCCCCCCTGCTAGGCACACACCTAGGGGTATGCTGGGTAAATGTTAAACAACTAAGTCTCAGAAAAAAAAATCTATACACAGCAGACTTTTACATTTAATCGGCATTATCAACATTTTTTCCATCATTTTCTTGAGTCTAGACAATCAGCAAAACCATCACTCAAACCCTGGCTTGTAGCATTTGCTGGTTTCTGTTTGGCTCACACTGATAATTTAACAACAGGCTTCAAGCTGGCTCTTCCCCAGGGAAGTCAAAGGCAGATCACAACATTTACAGAAGTGCTTTTTGTAGTAACAAAGAACTAGAAACGAAGGAGAGCCCATTCCTTAGGGAATAACTAAACAAGCTGTGGTATATAAACATTAGAGAATTAACTATGCTATAAGAAAGAGATGAAGAATCCAAAGAAGCATGCACAGACTTCAAAGAATGGAATTCCTTAAGAGGCAGAACCAAGAAAACAGTAGGCACAATGACAACGGAAAGAACAACAACAAAGAAGTAAGCCAGTTCTGTGTAAATACAATAGCTAAGCCTAGGCCCCACCCAGGGATGATACCTCTTCACCTGTCAGGCACTGCACACACCATCTCACTCAGGTGATAAGACTACTGTGACTTTTGCTGCACAACTTTTTTTCCTCTTTCTTACTCTTTGTTAGAAGAGATGGCTCTTTGGGTAGGGGAAGACGAAGGATATATGTGGAAATGACAGTGATATAAAAATACAAGACAGCAATAAAAATTTTAAATTAAAAAAAAGAAAAGAAAATGATTTGAATACAAAGAGTTAAGAACTGTACTTAACTTCCTATGCTGAAAGATAACAGTTTTTCTACTGTTTCTCTTGTATGCATAATCAAAAGTTTTTACTAGTCTTTTCAGTTGTATCTAACTCTTTGTGACCCCATTTTGGGGTTTTCTTAGCAAAGATACTGGAGGAATTTGCCATTTCCTTCTCCAGCTTATTTTAGAGATGAGGAAACTGAGGCAAACAGGGTTAAGTGACTTTCCCGAGGTCACACAGCTAGTTAAGTGTCTAAGGCCAGATTTGAACTCAAGAAGATTAATCTTTCTGACTTCAGACCCAGGGCTCTATCCACTGTACCATCTAGTTGCCCCTATCATCAAAATTAATACTTATTTTATAATTATGGTAATAATACTGTATAAACCTCAAATTGATTACTCTTTTACTTACCTATGGGCTTGAAAATTTTTCCCATCAATACAAATATCAATATCTGGGCAGCAATGCTTTCTATAAAGTTTCAACAAATCTTCTCCTAACTCAGATGCAGGTTCCAGGTCAGAATTGTCTGTAAAAGGAAAAAGTACAGTATACTGAAATTTCTCCAGGATTTTAAACAGTCAAATTTTTTTACAATTGACTAACAATATTTTTTTTTGTAAATTAAATTCCCACTTATCCTTACTAGTAAAGCAAAAATAGCATAAGTAACATAAAAGAATTAAGAAAAAGCATATGATTTTAAAAGTAATTTATATTTGACCTTTAGAATGTTTTTATATTTCAACATGGGTATGTTTAATATTCTGGGGTATCACAATCTATGTCTCTGTTTCCTCATCTATAAAATAACAGAAGTTAGACCAAATATTTCAAAGGTCCCTTAAACATCTCAATCCTAAATCTTATGATGCTATGAATACTTCAAACAAAATAATGAAACTGCTCTATGAACACCTGATTTACAAGAAGCTATGCAGCTCCTAAGCTTCCATCTCCTTTTTGTGCTTAATTCCTTCTTGTTCCCCACTTCATTCAGGAGATGGTCTGCATTTTTTGTAGAGGAATAAAATAACCATTATGACAATAGTTAACTTCTATAGTGCTTGAAGGTTTATAAAGCACCTTATATATATTCTTAGGTCCTCAAAAAGTAGGATCTACTATTAGCTCTTGCCATATTTGAGCCTTCAGAGCATTTCCCATAGTTCCTGGTTTAATGCCCAGGACACAGTGAGTAGCTGATAAAACATCTTTCAGCTAATTAAAAAAACCAGCTTATATTTACACAGCATGTCATTTGCACAGCATCATAGTTTATGATTTACAAAGCAGTTTATATATATTAATTTTATGTGGTCTTCTAAATGGTAGCATCCCTATTTTACAAGTAAAAACACTCACAAGTTCAGAAATGTTAAGTGATTTGCTCACAAAGAGTAAACTGCAACTGAAGCTCAAGTCTTTGGCCTACATACTCTGTGTTCTCTCTACTACACCAAGACTGCCTCTCTAGTCAGGGCCGCTGGCCCCCAGTGCTGTGTTTCTAATTCAACGTCAAAGTTGGGAAGGGCAGCTGAAATCCCCCCCTGTAGGCTCAATGCAGATGGTTGTATTCCAACATGAATGAGGCTGCCAAAAGGCTATGTACAGCTAATCATGGCCAAGGAGAAATACGGCTGGGGAGGGGGAGGAGGAGGAAAGAAGAAATCATCTGGGCCCTCTGAAAAACTTCACCAAGTATTCCTGTACCTACAAGAAAAAAAGACTCTTCACAAAGTCAACTCTCTATGAAACGACAATCTAGTCTGAACTTGAACTTTTTTGGGTACAAAAACCTACTAGACTAAAAGTTAGAGTAGATTGCAGGATAGCCATTAGAAATCATGGAGAAAGTAAAGCCAACAAAGTTCCCCCAGGAGAAACTTGTAGAAGTTAATCCAAACCCATGCCATGTCTGGCTATCTAGGAAACCTTCCTAGGAAATCTCTCATACCTCAAAAGTCCATGTTGAAAGAGACAGCAGTGCAACACTCAGGCCATATATTATCCTCTACCCTTGCTACTGACTGACTTGCTTCCTTTTTCAGTTTTCAGGTCTTTGAAAAAGCTTTTTACACCACTTCTGAAAATCCAATATTGTTACTATGTGTTAGCCTACCCATCCCCACCATGTGTCTTGACACTGTCCACTGGGTTATCTGCTTTTTCATTATTCTTTGATTGTGGTGTATGTACCATGAACCTGTTATCCAGTATCACTGGTAGAAAACTGTTGTTTAAAAAAAAGTGAGGTTTTGGTGGCGGGGACCAACTTCTGGTAATTAAAAAGACTGAACAATTTCTTAAATGCTATCCAGCCTGTCTTCCCTCTGTTCATTTGTCCAGTTCATTGTCCATCTGCAATACCTGTCCAAGATACATGTACCAAGACTACCCTCCTCATTGTGGTAGGAAGGTGATGCTCGATATTGAAAGCCCTTTTGGTGGAGTGTAATCTTTTCTCGATCCTCTCAAGTGAGAATAATTCCTCGTGCAAGCCCAGTGACGTGGGCTGTGACCCACATCTAAATTCCAGGCTAAGTTTGGAACTCTCTTCTCAAAGCCACCCCTTTTCCAAATTCCCTATTTCTGTTGAAGTCACCTCCACTCTTCCAGGCTTCTAGGTTTGTAACTTTGGCCTTATCCTTGCCTCTTCATTCTCTCTCACTCTACAATTCCAATTATTTGCCAAATTTTGCTATTTCTTTTCTGAAAACTTCTCTACTACCACTCCTTTTCATCTTCTCCAGTCACACAGCTACTAACTTAACTCAAGTCCCATTATCTCTTTGCCTTTATTGCAACTGCTTCCTAATTGGTCTCCCTACCTCAAACCTCTTTCCACTTAAGTCTGTCTTCCCTACTTCTGCCAAAGTGATTTTCTTTAAGAACAAATCTGTCTATGTCACTCCCTTACACAGAAAACTCCAATGTCCTCTTTCCTCGAGGATCAAATACAAACTTCTCTAGGGTCCTTCACAAAATTGCTTGAGCCTACCTTTATAACCACATTAGACATTACTCTCCCTTCTGTTCTCTAATCCAGTCAAACTGATCTCCGCCTTCCTAACACATTATACTCCCATCTCCAAGCCTTTTACTGGCAAACATACATAGAATGCATCTCCTCTCCCCTCTGCCTAAGAGAATTCCTCTCTTCCTTTAAGATGCAGCTCAAGCACCATCTTTTACATGAAGCCTTTCCTGATCCCCTAAATTGCTAGTGTCCTTCTGAACTTACCTTATATTTAACAACTTTGTATTTATTCTCTTTATATTTATTTTGTGTATGCTTATTTATTCTTGTTGTTTTCTCCAGTAAAATGTAAACTCTTTGGAAGTCAGAATTGTTTTATTTACCGTGTTTGTATCCTAGGTGCCTTGCATGGTATGTGATACATATCAGGCACATCTCTTGTGGAATGTCACAGAATACCCCTCTCTTCTCACCTCAGTGACTCCTGATCCCCTCCACTGATCAGAAGACTACTCCCTCTCTCACCTCACTGTCTCCCCATATCCACCACCAAAGAGAAACCAGACATCTCAATCCCTATAAATCCTGTTTTTTCAGTTTTTTATTCCCTCCAAACTGTATATCAACTGTGGAGAAACCAAGCTTTGGGGTCCTTGATTTACCAAGAGCCTTGGACCCAATTTGTTTTGCAATCACATGCACTGCTAAATAAATCATCTGTCTGGATAAAACTAGTTTCTTTATTCCACCTGAACAGTTATGGCAACCATGAAGGAACTGAGACTTGGTTTCCACTGACACAGTATGAAGAGAGGGTTTTAAAGTAACGGATTTTAGAAAGAGAAGTTTGAGGGAAGTTTCTTATCTCAATGAGGTAAGAAAGATATGATAAACCATGTAGTTATTCTTTGATTATAAATTCAGATTTGATTTGGTTGAAAAAGGATAATTGTGGTAACCAGAACTTTGCTATTTTAAGTAAATAATGCTAGAAAATGCATGGATCAGGAAAACCCAAGTTAAAATTCTGTCTCAGAAATTTATTAGCTATGTGACTGTAATCAAGTTACTTCACCTTTATCTCAGTTTTCTAATCTATAAAAGGGATATATAATAGCACCTACCTCCCGGAGTTGTTATGAGGATCACATAACTATAAAATGCTTAACACAGTGCCTAGCATATGGAAAGCAAGATACAAATATTAGTAAATGTAAGTAGTCTATATTGGTGTTGAATGTAATCAGTGTAAAATGCTGTGATAAAATAAGTGATTTTCTATGCAAGATAATTTGGAAATGCATTTGACTGAATTAATATCATATGACTGGTAATAGGTTTTAATATTTTAAATACATGATATTATGCATGTTATTACTGTGTTTCTAAAAATTTTCTTTTATTGTAAAATTTGGGAAACCACTATATCAGAAATGCTGTTAGAAAAGTAACATCTCTTTTAATTTAGATGTTGTTAGATTAAAGTGGATAATAATAACTTACTTTTGGGAGAAAAAGTAGCATAGGCCCCCTTCAAGTTATTTTTGTCTGTAAGGTTCCTTGGGACTTTCTACTTGGGCAAGGTCTTAAGATCTTATCAGCCTTGTTGAGAGCATGTAATAAAATTCTCAAGTACTCACATTTGAGAAACTAGGACCTCTCCTGACCAATGTAGGGAAATTTATAAGTTTGTTTATAGTAAAGAGTGGGTTTCATCTAAGATTATTTGACTATCACTTATGAAAATTATTAAATTGTACCTGTTAATAGTCTTTATTGAAGTTACAGCTTTGAACCAACGTAGTGACAAAAGACCTTAGATTCAAATATTTCAATCTTGCCTTAGAATTGAACAGGCAATACAGATTAGAGGCTTACTATAGTCAGCATTTTTCTGGTGTTTGGAGTCAAGTATCATGTATTCACTGTATGTAAAACTCCAGAATGTAATTATTCTTAAATTATAAATGAAGGACAAATAAGATGTCCTTATATGTTCTTACTGTTAAATACACACGCATACACGTGTGTGTGTGTTTATGTATGTGTGTAGGGGGGAGGAAGAGAGAGTACAACATGAGAAGAATAACCTAACCCTAAACTGCGATTAGTGAAATTTTGCTGCTTGAGGTAAAACCTCACGATTCCGTAATCTGATAGTGTTCTGAGTTTGATTTCAGATATAGTTGTCTGAAATGTCACTGAGTCAATAGCCCACCATTCAAGGAAAATGTCATGTATAACCCAAAGGGAGTGCAGTCTGACAAACTGCTACAGGTGGATGTCTGTGTCGAGGAAAAGTTGAAGGGATGACCTTGCCATGAGCTCCTCTGTAACTCAAGTTTCCCCATTAGGCTAATTTCCTTTCTGAACAGAAAATTTCTCTATTTGGTTAATTTTGAGCCTGGTTATGAATGTGAATGATATGGAACTTTGCAGTGTGACTGGCTGTGAACTGTGACTCTTGCCTGGAATCACACAGAGCTAAGACAGTTTTTCCCCTGTTATGGCTTATGTCAGGTCAATCTTGACAATCATGACCTTGAAGGAACAGTCTTGATATCATTACAACTAAGTCCCTCCTTTTTCTTTTACAGGAAATTTCCATAATTGGGGCAAATAAACAGTGGAAGTTTTGTTGCTGTAATATTAAATCTACTAATTAATATAGTAATACTAAAATAACTAAGTTATAGGATGCGGGTAAAAAAAATCTTACTATTTCAATCTGAATTTGCAGTCAATTCCATATCCTAAGCAACTAAGTAAATGGATTCTTGGATTTGCCATCTCCTTGCTAATAGTCATATATTCGTATATAGGATTAGGTCCTTCAAGTATCTTATTCTTTCTGGGTGATATGCAGACAATATCCTCAAAAGGGGGGGGAAGACAAAGATGAAAAGTTTTCAATCAAATGGAGTAATAAATTTTGAGAAAGCAACAGAATCAGACTATTTTCTTTAAGAACTAGGATACACACACACACACACACACACACACACACACACACACACACACACACTTATATACACATATGATTGGTTTCCAAATGTTTCTAATGGGATATATAGGCCTTGAGTATGTTTTAATAACAAGTTCTCAAAACTCGATTAAGGATTTTACATATAAGATTGCTTTAATAATTATAAAGAAAGAGAAATCATTTTTCCCATTTTTTAAGTCTCTGATAATTTTAAGAAACAGAAGAGCTCACTTTTCAAGTTAGGCCTTCATAAGACCTTTCTTTTTTTTTTTTTTTTTGTGAGGCAATTGGGGTTAAGTGACTTGCCCAGAGTCACGCAGCTAGTGGGTTTTTTTCCTTCAGCCTGTTGATGACAGTGTCCATATCAGGTATAGGGTTTAGGTAATTAAGTAAAAACAGAAACAGCAAATAGTATGTAAAAACTGAAATTCTCTGAAGTTCCAGGTGAATTATGGGTTCCTAATTCACTGTTCTTCTCATAACTCTATTGTTAACAAGATTAGAACCATAAGGCTTCAACTGGTTTTCAACACATGAACTAGTTATTGAAAAACCAAATTTAGGAGGTTATACTAAATTGTACTGAGTTTTGTTATGGGCAGATTTTTAGCAGAATTACCTAGGAATCTCTGCAAATAACTTGGAACCATAGAAACATACCTACCAGGAGGAAGCCCCTTCAGAGCTGCTCTGAGAATGAGACCTATTCCAGAATGTCCGAGGGAAGATATTTCTAGGGACCACACTATTACCTGGAACATCCAGGACTCAAGATGAAATTGCCGCTTAAATGGACATTGAAAGTAGGTTACCAGGTTACAAGGAGACTTGATGTTACTTAATATTGATGATCATAATTACATTACTTCAGCTTTTTGTTTCTTGGTGTTTATGTTTGCTGAGTTTTCTTGGTTACCTTGGTGACATGTAAACCTCCCCTCTCAAATTAGTCCATGGTGAGCCCTCTAAGTTGTTTGCTCCTGTCAAGTGAACCAGAGCGGTCCTCTAACCTGTGGGTGGCCTGAGTTTACCTATAAAGTCTATTTAACAAAGTTTGTCTCCTTGGGGGACATATGAGACTGTGATTCTGTTTGTACTCGTTGTGCCTCTTACCCCACCCTTTTGATGCCCCTTAAAGTAGATTATCATTCCATCCAGAAATCCCTAATAGATAAAGCCATTTAAATACGTGATCCTGGAAGTTGAGAACCCCAGGAACAATGGGGAGAATGTTTCATTAAAAATAACATTAGTGACTCCATTTTGACTTTATACACCATATTGTGAAGCTGAGTTTCAGTTGCTTTTAAGTCACCTGATTTTGGAGAAGTAACAAGATTACTACCCCTCCTAAAGATCACCTGCTTTAAGGAATGTCACAAAACTACCCCTCTCCCTCTCACCTCAGTGTCTCCCCATACCCTCCACCAACGAGAAATCAGATGTCTCAATCCCTATTCTGCTACCCATTCCCTCCAACTTGTATATTTACTGTATACCTCCAAACTGTATATTAACTGTATAGAAAGCTGAGTTTGGGGATTCTTGGTTTGCTGACCTTGGATCTGGTTTGTTTCGCAACATTTAGCACGCAATGCTAAATAAACCGTTTGGATGAAACTTGGTTTCTTTATTCCACTATAACAAAACTATGCCATCACTGGACTGATTGAAGGAAACCAGAATGTTTAGCCTGTAAGCTAAAAGACTTAAGGATGGGACGTAATTGGTACATTTAAGTATGTGAAGGGCTATCATATGGAAGAGACATAAAGCTTGTTCTGCTTGGCCTTCGAGGGCATGAAATCAACAGGTTGGGGAGGTAAAATCAAAAGGATTTGGTAACTGACTAGATAAGAAAAGTAAGGAACTTCAAGGTTACCAATATGGGAGACTGGGAATAACAAGTCAAAAGAAAGAACAATTTTACAAGGAAAGTTGAAACTAGAAAACAACTAGTATCGCATCTAGTGAGTCAACTATTTCCCTTCCTATGCTATCTTGTATCACTCCCCTACCTTTGCCAGGTTGGTCACTCGGCAGTTCATTTTTATTACCACTGGACAAAGGAAAAATAAAGTAAAAAGAACTCTATCAAGTTCAGCAAATTACTTCTACCTAAAAACAATTGTGGTAAAAGATTTTCTTTGTTGATTAGATAGATAGTATGAAGAGATAGGAGTGTGAAGGTATAAATGGTTGAAAATTACATTTCTGCATTATTTGTGATTTTTACACTCATGCTACCCTGTTGCCTACATATTACCTTAGATAACAGAAATTGTTCTATAGTGATATTTACATTTCTCCACTAATAGATACTTAAAATGCTCAGCAGAAATGATTTTTTTAACAAATTACATTAGCATGTATTCTGGTGTCAATATAATTTGAGATCCCACCTATAAAATCCGAGTTGTCCCCATTACCACTGGTTTCTTCTGGAACTTCACACTCAGTGAGAGAGGAACCAACCAAACTTCCATCTCGAAGCTTTGTCAAACTATTCTGGGAAGTGGCTGACCATCCATCACTTTTGGCATACTTTCCAGAATTTGTATCAGCACTTGGGGTTTCCTGCTGTAACCTGAACCCATGCACCTTCTTTCTCAGGATTTCTTCTTCATAGTTTTTTATGTTTCTGTCTGATGAATATACAACTCTGTGATAAAACAAATGATATACAAGTTTTCATTAAAGATAATACTTTGAAAATTCCCAATGGACTGTGTTTCAAAGATTATTTCACTGCAGCAAAATTTTAGTAACATAGATTAAGGGAGGGAAGGCCAATCTGAAATAAAATATTTTAAAAGAAATGTAATTTCAGCAGTTTCAGATAATGAAGAAGAGTCAACATGGCGCAGAGCAGAGAGCACCAGCCTAAGCGCCAAGAAGCCTCAGCCTAGCAGAGGATCTTCTGCTAGTAAGTCCCTCTGCTCCTGTGGGTGAGGGCTGCAGCAGGATGTTGGTGATAACAGTGAAGGTGATAATGATAGGTGATGTTTATATTGGTCTTCAAGGTGTGCAAAATCCCTTGTATACATTATCTCATTTGAGTCTTACAACAACCCTGTGAAGTAGATGCAATCTCATTTTTTAGAAACTTGTAAGGGATCATACACATGAGGTGGGATCTGAATGCAGATATATCATGCTCTCTCTCAAATGGAGCAAAAAAGCAAGTGCTTTTAAAATGAAGGAGTTGAACTAGTTAATTTCTGAGGTCTTAACTCTGAAATTCAATGATCAATCAGTAAGTCTTTATTAAGCATCTATTGTATTTGAGGCACTGAATTAGATGCTGGGAATACAGATACAAAGAATAAAACAATTCCTACTCACAATGAGCTTACATTCTGATGAGACAACAAATACATATCAAAATATATACAGCATGAAAACAAAATTAATAAATACATACATGTATAGTAATTAAATACACTGTAGTTTGGCAGGAAGACCACTGGAGGAGGAAGCAAAGGCTTCATGAAGATGATGTGTGAACATCTTCTTTTAAATTTTTTTTGAGTGAAAATTAATGTATAAGCATCTTAAAGGAAAAAAGGGACTCTCTGCGGCAAAGATTAGGATGGAGTAAATTCCAATTAAGTAAACAGATCATCGTAAAGCGATGGATACTGGAGATAGAGTAATTTGTGTAAGGAGAAAGCTACTTTGACTGGTTTACAGAACACAAGAAGGGGAATGATGTCCAATGAGGCTAGAAAAGTTGGGGCTAGGTTGTATAGGGCTACATAAATCAAAGAGAGGAGTTTATATTTTATTCTAGAGGAAATATGAAATCACCGGAGTTGAATGAGTAGCAAACTCACAGTCTCTTTGCACTTAGGGAAAATAAATTTGGCAAAAGTATGTAGGATGGACTGGAATGGTGAAAGACCTGAGGAAAGAAGACCACTTAGAGGCTGTAACAACAGTCCCTTTGAAGTAGAATTTGTAAATAAACTATCATAAAGCTTAAGGCAAAGACTATCAGGAGAAAACAGATCACTTTTCCAATATGTGCTTCTAAAACCCTGAAATACTTTAAATGTACAAAAACATGCTACACAGAAAATAAAACTTTGCTTCAAAATACTTTATTTGAAAGTTAATCATGTTCTGTTGATTTGGCTTGAGAGTCAGATTTCTTGTTCCTATGCTTATCAAAATGGGTCAAAACAACAATTACACATATAGAAGTACACTGAGATCAGCCTTTGCTTTCCCAAAGTGAGAGCATTTCATCATGAGAAACTGTTTCTGTAAGGCTGCCTCTGCACTATCAATTGCAGGTAAGCCAACTCCAGCCACCATATCCTTATCAGACTTACTGGTCTCTACCAATTCAACTAGTTGGCTCCTCTTTTCTGGACCTCCTACAGGTCTTTTCTGCCTTATTAATAATAATCTCCAAGGTGGGACTATTTTTTCCTACCTCCAGTGATACAGAAAAATGTTTTTAGTTACTTTTGTTCAGTAGCCTCTGTAATCCCTTTATGCTTACTCAGGGAGTCCTGGACCACCTCACTCCAGTTTCCCTGGTACCTCTCCTTCTGTACCAGATCAGCGGGGAATCTGATACAATGGAGGATTCCCTAGGTTACTACTACCAAAAATCCAAATTGTGGGCCTCCTTTAGGGATGGCATGATTGCCCTTTATTAAACCAGATTTATTATATCTTGGGCTGTTCTATAAGTTTACAAATGAACTGTCATTCCGCTCCAGTGCTTTCTCAGTTCTAACATTCAACGATCCCTCAGCAGTGCTTTGTTTTTCCTCTTTAAACTACCCTAACCTCACAAACAAATGCTGGACGAGCATCAGATAATACTGCTTCCTAGTAAACCAAAGGAGTCAGAGTTGTCCCTTACATTATTTGGGGTTGAATTTTCATTAAAAGACGAGAAAAAGTTCTACGTCTTATCACCTCATTTTTAAGTTATCTATGGAGTTGTTCTATACGGTATTTTCACAGTAAAATTAAGTAATTCATACATGCTCAAAAGAAACCACATAAAAGGAGTATTTTAAAATGTTACTGTCAGGGAGGAACAATGTGAAGTAATTTATCTGGATTAAAGTGCCATAAATTACATAAATTATTAAAAATTATTAGCTTTTACATTTAAAACAAGTATTAATTTTGTTATTTTTTCAGTATAATTTTCTGTATTTTAGTTTAATGAAGTCATATTTCAATATGCTTCACCAACAAAAGAATTACTTGAACTGGCAACCCACCAATCTGAACTTATTAACTTTTAGATATTCTGAAAAGGGGTTTAAAAGAGGAAGGAGGGTGGAAAAAAGAACATGGAAAGAAAAAGAAGGAAAGACTCATTAAAAGCATTTGAAAAATAAACTAAGGAGGTGACAAAACTTACCAAATTACACCTAGGATCAGGGGTGGCTATCCTGGAAAGGGCAGCAGAAATCATTTTTGGTATACGGTCTTTAAATTAGATTTGCAGACTAAGAAAACAAAATAACTGTTAGTTGTTTTTCTAGACAACATATTTTTGCCTTACATCCCTTCCTCTGTGTATCTTAGAATTAACATCTGCTTACTACTATGCTGATATAAATATGTTGGGATAAAGATAGGGACTGGATTTATTGGTATACCTTTCACCACTACAGGTCAGCACCTTCTACCTTCTTTGCAACTCAGTCTCAGAGAGCTGCCAAAAGCACCGAGAGGGTTAAGTGCTTTGCCCACAGTCACATAAGCTAGTGTTTGCCAAAAACGAGACTTGAACTCAAGTCTTCCCAGATCTAAGGCTGACTCTACATCTACTATACTGCTTCTCATAAAGAGATATATCCATCAAGTGTAAAAATCTATACCTACACTATGCACATACAGGAGGGGATTAATTACTGTTTGTTGAATTGGACTGAAATCTGGAAATTAACAGTGGGGAAAAAAAAAACTAGAATGATTAAAAAAAAATCAAGGTCAGAACAAGAATCCTGAACCATACTTGATAATTAGTAGTTGTTGCTGTTAAGTCATTTTTCTGCTGTGTCCAACTCTTGGCAAAAATACTGGAATGGTTTGTCATTTCCTTCTCCAGCTCATTTTACAAATGAGGAAACTGAGGCAAACAGTTAGTTGACCTACCTAGGTCACACAGCTAGTAAGCGTCTGAGGGCTGGATCTGAACTCCAGTCTTCCTGACACCAAGCCCAATACTCTATCCACCAGATCTCTAATTTCATCCATAGGGGTATTCCTTTTACCAACATAAATCATAATCCCTCTACATCTCATCCTATGGATTCTTAGCTATGTCTTTCCACAAATTCCACAATCCATTCAGCACTTTGGAAGTCCTCCTCTCTTTTTTCCAAGACCTCAGGAGATACCACCACCACCAATAATAACAATAATAATTAGCATTTATGTGATGCTTTAAGGTTTGAAAAGTGCTTTGTAAATATTATCTCATTTGATCCTCATAACAACCCTAGGAGGGATATGCTATTATTATTCCCATTTTACAAATGAGGAAACTGAAACAGACAGAGGTTCAGTGACCTGCTCAAGTCACACAGTTATTAAATGTCTTGGGCCAGATTTCAACTCAAGTTTTTCTGACTCCTGGTCCAGAATTCTAACAATTGTACCTGTTTCCAATATGTCAAAGCAAGCTGTCTAGCTGTTGGATTTTTACTCTCATTTGATGATAGATCCATTTCTTTCTTTTTCTGGTCAACCATATGTCAATGATTTTTCAACCCACTCTCGTGGGCAAGTTCATCATTTATCACACACCAATTTGAAAATTATCACTGCCACCTGAGGTATTCACAATTTTTTACTGTCCCAGGATTGTGGCAATCCACCATCTTCAGTCTTAAAACATCACTAAATGATACACATGTAAAACATTATGCAAACTTTAGAGAACTGTATAAATGTTAGCTCACAGCCTTGTTTCACTCCACTGGTGACTAGGAAAGCATGAGAGCATTGTCCATTATCCAGACTTTTCAGCATGATGTTTTCAGACATTTTGTCAAATGCTTTCAATGAGGAAGAACATGGCATCAAGATCAGCTACTGCACTGATGATAAATTCTTCAACTTGAAAAGGCTATAAGCCAAGACCAAAGTGGAGGGAGTGCTGGTGCATGATATTTTGTTTGCAGATGATTGTGCACTCAACTCAGCCTCTGAAGCTGAGATGCAACAAAGCATGGATCAATTCTCAGCTGCCTGTGCTAATTTTGGCCTAACAATTAACACCAAGAACACAGGTGTTCCATCAGCCACCACCGCACCATCCATATGTGGAACCATTGGTTACAGCAAATGGAGAAGTTTTGAATCCTGTGGATAAGTTCACTTACCTTTCTAGTACACTATACAGGAGTGTACACATTGATAATGAGGTTGACGCATACATTGCCAGAGCTAGCTCAGTGTTTGGGAGACTCCAAAGCAAAGTGTGGAAAAGAAGTATTAGACTGACGACCAAATTGAAGGTCTAGAACCACTGTGCTGACCTCATTGTTGTATGCCTGTGAAACCTGGACAGTATGCCAGCACCATTCCAGGAAATGGAATTGCTTCCATTTCAATTGTCTAAGGAAGATTCTGAAGATCACCTGGCAGGATAAGATGCCAGACACTGAGGCTCTTTCTCAA